AAGTCTTCAGTTGGGCTTGGAGGTCGTCTGGTTCCCCCGATCGGTGCATTCCCTAAGCCATGGTGACGATCATGTAGCCACCATTGTTCTCCCCCGGAAGACGACATGGGGACATGAGCTAACATTTGTGCATGTAGGGCTCGATCGTCACCCTCATGTTCCCCCGGATCTTGGAAGGCAGGTAGTGCAGGTGGTTCAGGTTCTGCAGGTTGTAGAGCATCTTCTACGGCCTCCAAGGTGTCTAGGAGAGCACGGTGGATCGTATTGAGATCCCCCCCGGGCCAATCATGCAGTTGCCCCCGTAGTTCTTTGAGCTCAAATGCCATCCCCCGCGCTCGTTGCTCTCGTCTTTCGCGGGCGAGGTTGGAGGTGACAATCCCCCTGCTTTCTGCTATGACATCAGCAGGGTGTCCGACGGGGTCTCCCCGTTCCACTGCAGCCAAGTATCCAACCACGTCGACGAGGAGCAACCAGTTGTCGCGGTTATTGGGGTCCCCCTGTACGCCCTGCAAGGCTGCTCCCATCTGGCCGAGGATGGTCCCAGTGTTGAACATCCCCTGCTCATAGTCCAGATTGGCAGCCGGCATCCCCCATTGCTGAGGGTTTCCATCGACAGCGGTGGCCATGGCGTGCATGTGTGAGTTCAGCCATGCTAGAACTATGTCCACATCATGTTGCAAGTCGTAGTATGTGATGTAGTTGTGGTGGATGTCCGCTCGCAGTCGCCTCAAGGCCTTTGCACGGATGCGTTGTAATGCTTCCTGCGTGGCGGTCCCCTTCTGTTCGACCTTGGCTCGCTTGGCCTCAGGTTCCCCGGTGCTATTGAGCAGGGGGAAGGTCTCCAGTTCGAGGTGACGAAGAACTTCGGCCTCTGTCTGGTCGTCTATAAGCAGGTCGGCAAGGGCACATTGGGCTAGGTGTGCTACCATGTTTCCCCCTGGTAGCTGGTGCGACAAGCTGTAGATGCGAGTAAGATAGTGCTCAATTCTTTCTGCACTGGTCGTGAAGGCTGGTGTGGGCTCCATGGCTTGAGGGTGTGGTTGTAGTACAGGTGGTGGTGGCTGTGAGAGCTCTGCCGAGCTGTCGGGGACTGTTTCTGGTGCGTCACCAGAGTTTGTCTGCTGGGGTGGTGCTGGCTCTGTATGTGTTGTGGAGGCCTGAGCGAGACTCCCCCGTTGTAGGGCTTGCTGGATGTGTTGCATAAGGTTGGTCTCGTCATCAGGTGGTTCTTGCTGGTGGTAGGTAGGTAGTGCTGGTAGTTGCCATGGTAGCTTCGTTGGTGGTTGCTATGGTTTGTGTGGTGGTTGGGGTCCCCCTTGGCAAAGTGCTTGTTGTGGTAGAAGGTGTGTTGCCGGAGGTCGTGGTGGTTTTCTTTTTTCCGCCGATGTCGCGGCCGTCTCGGATCTGGGAAATGAGATCCCCCTGTGTGGCGGGTTGTGGGGGGGCTTCGCGATTTCGCGAAGGTGTCTGGTCCTCTCTGCCACGGTTTCCGCGCAGGTCTCGTTTATCGACGAAGGCACTGTCGTCACCGGGGGTCCGTGGTGGTTGTGGTGGTGGTGGTTTGGGCTGTCCTCCTTCTTCGTCGGGTTGTTTGCGAGTGCCGGTCTTGTCTTGTTTCGGTGTTTTTCGCCTCTCTCTTACTGGTGGGTCTGTGACATCCGCTGCGAAGTGCACATGCCGTGCCTTTGTATGTGGGAGTGTCCCCCCGTGGCTGGTGGAATCGGCCGAGCTGGCGGTTTGGCTGCTGGAGGGTTGTTGTTCATCCCCGGTGTCAGTCGTGGCTTGGGGAGTGGTTGGTATGGGCTGCGTTTGCTGCTGCTGTTCTTGCTGCGGGTGCTTTGTCTTTGCCTCGGAGGTTTTGGCTTCCCCCCGTCGGTACTCCCGAGTGGCCGATTCGGCTTGTTTGTCCACTGTCATCTTCCATCCGTCGTTTGTTAATTGGAGTACGAAGGAGTCCCCCTCAACCACAAACATGCTCTGTGGCCAGAAATCGTCCAGCGGAGGTGTTGACGCTTGAAATAGCCACATGTCAGGTGGCCCCATTGGGGCTAAACGTCCTCGCAAGCCAACTGTGAAGGGTGGTGCTGTGAGGACTGGGCCGTTCTGGCCAACATGGGTGATTTGGAGTGGTGGCAGGCCTGCTGAAGCTGTAAGTTCAGTAGGTATGTAGTGTGTTGCTGTGATGTGGATGTCCCAGCACCCCGCTGTCAGAGGTAGATACTGCACTGTTGTGCCCTCTGCGTGTGGTAGGCTTGGAGGGATCTCGAGGTCGTGGGAGTCTGGCCCCTGTGGTGCGTTGTCGTACTGCCATTGCTCTTCTGGGGTGGGTATGTATTTGCGGGCTGTTTTATGTTGGTGTTGTTTTTCTGTTGTGCTGTTGTCGCGGTGAGTGTCGGTGGAGCTGGAGCTTGCTGTGCTTGGCGGAGGGTCTGGCTGTCCCCCTTTTTGGTCTCCTTGTTTCGCAGGGCGGGTTCTGCCGAGGAATTTGTCCATGGCCTCCTGGAACTGCTGTTCCGCTGCTGTGTCCTTCTTGGTCCCTCGTGTGTCGGTGGCTGGTTGTGAATGTTGGTCTGTGGAGCTTTGTGCCCGACTCGCAAGGATACCCCAACCGGGCCCATGCTGGGGCTGGGGGTCAGGTCGTACGAGTTGCTCCCCGCCCAGACCCTCTGCTTGAAGGCATGTTTGCCCTCCTTGTTGCACAGCCTTTGGGATCCGTGTCCGGCTCCTCGTGTTTGTGTGGTTCGGGAGGGAGGGGGGGGGGTCAATCCCCCAGTCGGGATGTTCCCATGGTGGCAGGCCTGTATCTTCTGTAGCTGTGTCGATCGGCTCCTCATCGTCGGGTTGGTCTGCGGTCGCGGTGTCATGTGGGTCTGTATGGCTTTCGGTGGTGTTTCTGCCGGGGCTTGGTGGTGGTCGTGGTTGGACAAACTCGGGGAGTTCCCCTGAGTGTTTGGCCCTTGGAAGTGGATCAGGTTGTGGTTGCAGTGGCTGGAGTGGTGGCGGGGGCATGCTGCAGGAAGCATTGATGGGGTTGCTTGTCGTAGCTGCAGCTACTTCCGCCGGTGTTTGAGTTGCATGCGGTGTGGCTTCGGCCGCCATGGACCCTTCGGGGGTGCCTTCCCCCTGTGTGTCGGGGCTTGGTGTGCAAACTCGCTTCAGGTATGTGTCGGGGATGCGGCCTGTACTGATCCAGCTGGTGTATTCTGACTGCCACATGTTTGGCAGGGGCCCCGTACCAGGGGGTGGCAGCCAGCATGTTGTCTGTGGTTGGCGTGTGCTTTGTTGTGATTGTTGTGTTTGAGGTCGGTGGGGGGCCGCTGAGGCGCCTGTGGTGTGCTGAGCGGAGGTTGCTGGTGACAAAGGTGTGCCATGTGCCTGCCGATTCGCCGGCTTTGTTGCTGTGTTTGTCTGTTGCGCTGCTGCCGGTGGCGGATCGTCCTGTGGGTTGTTCCAGGGGTCGAAGTCCCAATCGTAGGTTGGGTGATAGCCGTGGATGTTGCTTGTGTGTGGTGGTGTATGGGTTTGCTGTGGATGGGCATGTGTTGGTGGCTGGTGGGGGCCAGTTGCCATGGCTTGAGCTTGGGGTGGTTGTCGAGGTGGGAGTTGTTGTGGTAGTGGTGCTTGTTGTGAGCCGCATGCTTGCAGGCCGATTTGGTATGCTGGTGGTGGAAAGTACAGTGGTTGTTGTGGAGGTGGTTGGGGGCCATTTCCCCCGCCCTGTGCCGTGCTCCAGCCGCCCCATGATGTGACGTAGCCATTAGCCGTAAGATGCGTCGCCGCCCATGCCAGCTGGGTTGGGGCGTGTTGTTGTGCCCACTCGTGGTTGTGCCACGGTGGTGTCGCTGTGTTTGGGCCCGGGTTGTGTCCCCCGTCTGCTGCCACGTGTGAGTTGGCCGGGACGGGACTATGATGTTCCCCCGGTGTGGCTTCCGCTGCGGGTGGGGTGTCATCTGTACTGCTTGCTTCTGCCGGTGCTGACTGTGTTGGGTCCGGGTCAGGGGTTTGTGCCTGAGTAGGCACGTGTCCGTAGGGCACTGCGAGCGCCAAGACCAGCAGGAGTTTGGTGCTCAGCATCTCGCCGAGTTCGCTGCTGCTCAAGTGTCACTGTCTACTGTCCTGAGTCGTTGCTTTGCGGCTCTCTTATTCAGAAAGCCAAGTCGCCTAGATTCGTATGCAGAAGTATGAGTGTCGAGTGGTAAAAAGGTCGTGGTATGTTCGCATGTTTGAGCAGTAAGGATGTAGTCGAGCAGGTACAGAATCGTCACATCCATGATGGCAGAAGGCAAGGAAACAAACTCACACTGCATACCACATGTCGCTGTCACTGGTCGAAGACAAGCAGGTCATTCACGGACATGCGGAGAGTGTTTGAGGGTTTTCCCCCTTCGGCTGTTCTGGGTAGCTAACGTCTGTTGTTCAAGCGATTTGTGGTTGTCTGCTTCTTTCGTTGCTTTGCTGCGTGAGCTTTCTTGTGGTTCGTGTCAGTAAGACTTTGCAGGAATGCTTTGTCGTCTGTCTGCTGGTTCCCCGGTGCTAAGTTGGTGATGCTGCACTGTTTGCCACTACTCCATGGGACATCATACTTCGCGATGAAGGTTGCCTCCCACTCCCCCCATGCTTCTCTGTCTTGTGCAATGGCAAACCAATTCTTACCAACCGTGTCGCTCAATTGTCTGTCTATGTCCATGTACGCATTGAAGCGGTGGCCATGTTGAATTGGGATCCCCCGGTCCTTTTGATCTTGCCACCACTGGAGACTGTGCCATTGGAGGATTTTTCCCCCGATAGGATCGCCTCTACTGATGTGTCCAATAGCGGTCCAGATTTGCGACAGCACGAAAGTTGACCATCGGGTTCCCCCGCAGTGGAATAGTGCGAGTCGGCTTCTTCGCAAACTTCTCTTATTCCACGTGGCCCACTCTTCACATGGCTGTCGGCGAAGACCCAGCATTACACGGACGTGGGATAACTGAATCGTGTTGATCGACCGTAGCAGGCTGCTATGGCAAGGCCATGTCTGGCAGGCCCATAGTGCACTCTGTCGCACGAGTACGACGTGAATTTGCAGCTTTTGCCGGATAGTAGCCGCCGAGGTGAAGGAGTCGCGGTGCCCAGAAAGCTTTGCGAGCTCTGCTTTGGGCTTCTGCTAGCAGCATGGCGGTTCCCCCTTGGAAGGAGAGGGGACTCCCCAGCACATGAAAGACGTGCTTGGGTCCTTTGGTTGCCACTCTCTCACCCGCCACCTGGAAATGGACTTCTTTTTCCCCGGTACTGATGATGTCGGTTTTTCCAGGGTGCAGGTAGAGGCCGCGGCCGGGCAGCTTGTCCCCCAGGGCGGTGAGCATGTGCTGGAAATGTTTCTTGAATGTGGACCAAATGTAGTTGTCGTCCATGTAGCTTCCCCCGTCTTCCGGGGGGGGTTGCGTCGGTCGTCGGTTTGGAGCTCTTTGCTTCCCCGATGGCAGCATCAAGGTCTTTGGCAACGACGGAGCCGAAAGCCACAGGGCTTTCTGGTGCTCCTTGTCGGACCCCGTTGCTTTGTTGGATCGGGATGCTTTCCCCGGCGACCTGAACACATAGGTGCTGGGCATGGAGCACAGCGACCCAAGCTCGGGCTTCCCAGGGCAGGTTGGCATCCTCCCCGACTGCCTGGCAAACATGTTCGGCGAGGCTCTCCTGGAAGATCGAGTCGAAGGCTTTTCGGATGTCCAGTTTTGCGATGTAGAACTCGAGTCCCCAGTCACGTGCGACTCGTGCTAGTCGACGAAGGATAAGGATTAATTCGATTCCTTGTCTCCCCCGCCTGCACCATTGTAGTCTGGCGGGGGCCTGGATCGCTTCCCCGGCTCTCTGTAGAAGGAGCTGGCCGAAGGTCTTGAGGAGCACTGAACTCAAAGTTATAGGTCTTCTTTCGCTCCAGTCCTGTGGCTGTGTGGTTTTCGCCAGTAAGATGGTGGCCCCTGCCTCGATGCTCTCGACGATACGGCATGTGTACAGCATGTCGTTGAAGAGGGCGAGAAGGCGGTTCCCCCAGATTGGATGTGGGAGCATGGCTTTGAGGGCTTCGTGTGATACCCGGTCTGGCCCACAAGACCTTCCATTCTTCCACTTCACTTTGATCTCGTAGAGGTCTTCCAAGATGAAGGGCATCCATCTCGTGTTCTTACATTTGTGCTCCAGCTTGTTCATGATCCCCCGGATTTTCGCCGTGACCACGACTTGCTTTTGCCGATGGAAGATCTTCTCGAAATGGTCCTTGAGCTCTTGTTTCCACTGGTTACTGTCGGTGAGTTTCAGCTCCCAAGAGTGATCGCGGCTCTGCTCCACGAGGGCCTTCTTCATCCCCCAATCCAGTTCAGCTACCCGTTGCATCGCTAATTGTTGCCATTTTCTGTGCTCGGACTGGTGCATCTTTCGCGCTGTTTTCCAGAGTCGTCGTCTGTCTTCCCCTGGCACTGCGTGAAGGGCTTGTCGACGAAGAGCTCGAAGGGCATCAGATTCTTTAAAGGGTAGCTTGTTCTTGCCTGGTTTGCTGATGGCCACAGCGACTTCCTGGATTTGGGTGACGGGGTCACCCCCGGTCTTGGCTTGGTGATCCAAGATTGCATCCACTACAGCCCCAGGTCGTAATGTTCGGGAGGACCATGGTGCCGCCTTTTCCCCCTTGTTGGCCTCGTCGATGCGGATCTGGGTCAAGGGGACGGAGATCGGCTCGTGGTCTGAAGTGGCAATGTCCCTCTGAGCAAGTACTTTTCCGGAATCGAACAGGAGTTTCTTTGCCAACACATAGTCTAGTCTGCGCGGTTCAAAGGCCGTATTGTAGGGAAAATGGCTTGGCTCATGCAGCTGCTGTTCTGGAAAATGGCATCCCTCTTCTTCGAACCACTCAAGCAACAATTCCCCCCGTGCCGTGCATGCCTTGACTTGTCTCTGTTGTCTCGCGGGCTCGAAGGTCTCATTGGCATCAATACCTATGACTGCTCGGCCATGTGACTGCAAGTGGGCATGAAGCTCTTGGAGAATCTGCTCAGTAGCTGAGAGTGTGGCATGATGTGGTATGTGTATAGAAAAAGCTCCCAAACGGAGAGTATCTGAACTCAAAGTGCAAGAAATCGAGCAAGGCAAAAGTTTTCCCCGGGTGTGCCGCAGGTTCGAGGTATGCATGATGGCATTGCCTCTCCAGTCCTCAGTTCGTTTTCCGAAGACCATCTGCAGCTCATCCAAGGCGGCATGGTACTTCCCCCCTTCACATATGATCTCTTGGAGGAACACGATCAGGGAGTCGCAAAATGGTTGAATTCCGTGTCGCCGGAGGGCTAGGATGACTTCCAGTGCTTTGGCAGAGGTGAGTCCCCCGACATTCCAGCTTATCACATGCACTGTCTGCGAGGGCCTGGCAAGGACTTCGGCCCTCTTGTGTCCCCGTCTTCACTGCAGGGCTTTCCGAAGTTCCCCCCATTTGGAGGTCGCAGCTTCTTCGGAGATCCCGATCTGTCGTGCCACTGTGCCAAGGTGTACCCAACCAGCTTTTTCCACTGATGCACCGTCTGGAGCTGAGGTAACCCCCGATGCAACTTTCACACTGTTGTACCATAGATTGGCTGTGCCGTACTCCACGTCGATCTTGCGCACGTCGCCACCTTCTTCTATGATCAACCTTTTCACTTTGCCAGCGAGTTGGGCCTTCTTGCGACGTTCGGGACTCTGGCTGAGTGCTGCGAAGAAGTAGCGGTGTCCCCCTTCGGGTCTTTGGCCTGTCACGATCTTGGCTGCCCGAATAGTCCTGAGTACTTCTTGTACACGAGCTCGCTGTTCAGAATCGCTTTCCCCCTCAAGCTTGTTTAGGGGAACGAGGGCGAATCCCCTCCTGAGCCCTGGGACAAAAGCCTGGCTGGTGTCGAGGTTGACGTTCAAGTCGTGCAAGTGCTGCTTTACCAACTGCAAGGTTTCTTCATGGTGCTGGTCAGCATTCCAGCCTCCTACCACCAGGGCAGGACGGGGGTTTCCCCCGTCAGTCTCGGAAGTTCTGGTACTCGACATAGAGAAGTTGGCTTTGGCGAATTTTCCTTCAAGAAGTTCCAGTCGTTCCAGCACACTCTTCTGCCGCTCATCAACATTCCGGACACTCTGCTCCATCACACAGTGACGATCGGTCATCGCCTCTAATAGTTTTGTGGTATTGGTCACGTGTGTGTCGACTGTAACTTCCACCGTGGTCATACGAGTGTTGATCGCATCGATGTCTTCACGGACTTTGGCGACAATCTCCTCACGATTTTCCTTTAAGGCTGCGAGGAGTGTATTGAGTGTCAATGGTTGCTCCTCCCCCTCATCGTCAGTGGCAGGTCGCTTTCGTCCGCCACTTGCAGCCCCCGGATTCTCACCATGTGCCGGGGATGCAGGTGCTCGTGATCCCCCGTGTGTGCCAGCCATTGTGAAGATTTTGTTCTTGATGCCGTCCAGAAAGGATCACGATCAAGTAAATGTTAAAATTCCTCACCCACCTTCACGGACGGCAGAAGCGGGTATGCCCCAATGAAGTCCTGTAGGTTCGCCGATCCCCTTCGCGAAGAGGGTTGACAAAGTCCTCAAGGTACAACTCACAGTCACCGATGTGCTCTGCTCCCCCCGATGTCGCTCCGCCGAAGGAGGATGGAGTACACGCGTAGTTTTACAAACTGGTAGAAGGTGTTGCAGAGGGCTATGAACGGCTCCCGTGCACTTTCTCTCTCTCACTCCCCCCCGGGTTTACAGACCGTCTGACTTTCTGGGCTCCGGCCTTGAACCACTCGCGGCTTGAGCCAAAATGGCTACCCGAAGCTCTCTCTCTCTCTCTCTCTCTCTCTCTCTCTCTCTCTCTCTCTCTCTCTCTCTCTCTCTTCTTCTGCAGGGCATGAGGGCGAGCCCCCGCGGGAGCCGCCTGTTTGTTTTTCTCTCTCTTGCTTGCTTGCTTGCTAAGGGGTGTAGGGGCTGCGCGCAACCCCTTGGCCCGAAGGCCTATACCCCCTCGCGGCGTGCGACGTCCAAGTCGGCCGGTGAGGACGGTCGCGAGTGCTCCAGTCACGGCCTCTGGCCCTTCCACGCAAGCATTAACATACATTCCTGGCGACCAGCCCAAGGGAATTATCAGCTTTTGTGGCCAGTACTCTACGGCGGGCTCCACCCCCTGATGAACACACAACTGCAGTCTCCCCTGCATTCTGTACAACCCAGCCTGACCATGCCTGACCTGCCTCCCCACCTGATCCCGAACGGAACCTTGCGCAACTGCACTGCCTTTGCCTGCCCACCCCTCCCTGAAACCTGCAGCCTGCAGCTGTCCCCGTGCTCCCTTTCCAAGCAGTGTTGCACAACAACTTCGCTAGAAACCATGCCATGCTAGGGACACAATCCCCCCTGTACTGCAGTCCATGAACTCCAGAGCTAGTCAGCTAGTCATCCTGGTCCAGGGAGCTGGGGTTTGTAAAGCTACGTCTGCGCTCCCCCCATCCAGGCGTCGGTTGTCAGCCGGGCTTCCGGAGAACTGGCCGCCGCGTTCCCCCCGTGCTCGAGGTCCCCCGCGTGGCCCCAGGCGTCCGGCTGCGTCACGCGCAGCGAGTTGACGTCATCTCCCCCACCAGCTCCACTTCCTCCCCCAGTGCTGCACTGTCCATGCGACCAGCTCCTGCAGGGCCTGTTCATCCCCCACCAGGAACGGGGCCAGTCTCCGGAGTCTTGCTTTTGCTGCGTACACCAGTCTTGGATCCGGTGGGTCTGCTCCCCTTCGCGACGCCGCCTCGACTCCCCCCTGCTTGGAGCCCTATGACGTCGGCCGGGTGCATCGGCCTTCCCAGCTGGTCTGCGCCGCCGCGGAACGGGTACCCCCACCAACACCGCCACCCCCTTGGCTGCCTCATCCAGCAGGTTGCGGAGCGTGGCAAGGTTGCATCCCCCTTCGTCTGGGTCCATGGTAGTGATTAGGGTGTGTAGCAGAGCTTCCGCCTCCTCCGCTGCGTCCTCTGCCCAGTGGGTCTGCTGCCAATTGTGGCTTCTTTTGGCCGCCTGTAACAGCGCGGCCGCATGGTCTCAGTGATGTGTCTTTCCACTGCCTCCACTCTTTCTGCTTCCTCCGCCGTTGGTGCTGGTGGGTTCTGTTCCCCCTGTGCTGGCTGTACTGGCCCATGCTGGGCTGGCCCCCCTACGGCGGTCTCCTCCATCGCCTGGTCTGCTGCTGCTTCTGTCTCGTTGCTGACTGCGCGTTGGAAGGCGGCTGCTTGGGCTTGGGCTCTTCGGAGCGGGCTGGGTGTTCTGCTCCCCTTGTTCGCCCCCTCATGGTGTTCTCCCCCCCACTCCGTGGGATTGCTGTGCTGTGGGCACTGCATGCTGGCTGCTTGCCACGGCACTGTGGTGGCTTGGGGCTGGGCCACTGTCCCCTCTGTCAGTGCTGCGGTGGGCCCCGGTTCGCTGTGGGGTTCAGTTTGTGTGTGGCAGGCACTGGGACTTCTGCTGCGGCTGGGCGTCTCCCCCCTTGCTCGGGTCCTGGGCGGCCGACCAGGGCGCTTTCATCTGTGGGTGCTTGTTTCCCTCCAGCCGGGGGCCGCCGCCTCCTGTTCCCTTGCTGGATGTCCATCCCCCCCACATGTTTTGCCAGCGCCTTCCCCCCCTCTCTCTCTCTCTCTCTCTCTCGCTCGCTCGCTGCAGGGGTCAGGTCCACTGGACCCGGGCCGAGGCCCCCCCTTTCTTCACACGATTGTGGAAGAGGGGCATCTCTCTCTCTCTCTCTCTCTCTCTCTCTCTCTCTCTCTCTCTGGGGCGGTCTCAGAGGTCTGTCAGCCGCGCTGTTGAAAACCCTTTTTTGCAGAGGCTTGTGTGAATCCCGCCTGGATGTGTCACACCTGTTCTCTGAACAAGGCTAAAGCCCAAAAAGATAGAGCAATAGGCCATAAATTCCAATGCTCTCGAAGGAGAGAAGAGATGGCAAGTCTTCGTTCCTGACCATCTGTCCTGAACCCAAAATAGAACGATAACAACATATAACAACAACAAACACGACCACCCCGTAATGCGAAATATTCGACGCCCAAACCCTACACTCATCGCCAAACATGGTGATGGCCTCGTCCCTTATTCCTCAACTACCCCATGTGCAACCCCACACAAAAGGGGTCCCTCAGGCCGCCAAGTCTGACAATTCTGACTCAGATACGAAATGGACCCAAACCCGAAGGGATATGATGGAGGCAGATGCTGCTACCCTAAACACATAACGCGGTGTCAGAAGCCCCAAACTCTGATGGAAAATTCTGCGCCCTGTATCCAAAGCTGCACTAATTAGGTGATGATGGGACACCCTGATACGAGAAGACGGGCGGTACATCCAATGCTTGAGATGAGTAGGCGGCTTGTACATCATTTAAAGTACAGTAGGGTGGCTTGAAGGATCGTCTTAGCTCTGCGGCCGTATGCCATAACATTGCTGTTATATGTCATGACATGAAGTATAAGTAAGTAATCGGCACACAGCCTGCCACATGTACATACTTCGCATCGACACGGAAGTCTTCAAATACATACCCAGCAACGTCGAAAAAGGCTCACTATCTATCTTTCAACTATGAAAAACGCATCCAAGGACATCTGGAATTGGAGAGGCGGCCTCTGTAGATCTTCGGACAAATTCGGGAAAGGCCACGTCTCGGTAAAGTCTCCAGGTCACACCCGCCCATGCAGCGCCTCGTGCCAACCTCTAAGCTACGGACGCTGGAAATGCACCCCTCCGGCCGGAAAGGAAAGTGTCGAAACAAATTGGCGTTGCGGAATTCAACGAATTGCCCTGCAATGTGCTTGCAACAGGAATCGCGCAACACCCAACGGCTCTTCGGCTCCATGGCGGCAAAGCGTGGGGAACACTCGCGTGGAACCACAGTGTCGGCACAAATCAAACTCCATGAAACTCACACCTCGACATCGCCGTTCAAAAGCGCCAGGGATGAAACCCTGCGGCATTCGGAAGGAATCGACAACCCGTTGGCAAAGTCCGCAGCGGTCCAATTCCGGCAGTTGCGGAGGTCCGGTCTGGCACCAGCTGCGATCAAGGCAGCGGCACCCTCAAATTGAGCCGACCTGATGGCAACCGTCAGAGGCGATGTGCCGTGCACTTGATACGCCAAAGCCGGCAGGCCTGTGACACGGCCGAGCATGAACTGGAAAGATTCTGCAGCTAAGAGCAACCGGCCCATTGCCGCGGAATCGAGCGACACATCTAACTGAAAGTAGATGTCTGCCAGAAGGCTGATCAGGCGCTGAATGCACGTGCGAGGTCCTGTGTTCTCGGTTGTCCCAGCAACGCCAGCTCCTTCAACACCATCTGCGGCACCATAAGAAGCAGCACACTGCAAGGTGGTAGGCCCGACCAAACTTCGGGCCACTGGCCTGGCAGACGGCAGCGCTCTGGGCGGCCGGGGCTATCGGTCCCTCAAGCTTCGCCCTCTCCTCGAGAAGCAAAACGGGTGGCCTGGTGCTTGAAAAGCAATATCCAGGGCCGACATCCACAAAAACAAGCCCTGCATGGGCTCTTCGCCGGTTGACATCGACACGTTGCTCCAGCAGGCCTCTCAACACTGTCGCATTGCCAGCCAGTGCTGCATAGAGCAGCGGCCGCCACCCCGCGCTGTCACACCGCCCGACACTCCTTAGGCCGTTCTGGTGCAAGAACTCTGCCCACCTCGTCACAGGGGTCCTGGCTACTGGGAAGCACGCCGTCCACCGGCTGAACATCCAGCAAGCGCAGGTACACCTTCGATCAGGAGGTTGAAGTAACGTCGGTAGCCGGGTAGATCGCCCACTCGCAGGCAATGGTTCAGCTTCTGAAATAGGATGCTTCGCATCACTGGGGCCAGCTTTTCACGATCGTGCGCCACCTTCAAGTCACCTTCCCCAACAGAACCACTCGGAAACAAAAGTTAGCACCTTTGCCTCATAAGGACAATCGAGAACCGGGCAGAGTGCAAGGAAGAACTGGCAGTGACTGATGTAGGCTGGGATGCTGTTGATAGCGCTGGTCTGCCGCTGATTGCCCTCGCCCCCATCAACAATGTAATTCCGATGCTCCGAAAAGAACAGATCTTCTTGGCGCGCTTGTCCAGATCTTCGCAGCGTGTTCGTCATGCCGGGAACAGTTTTGGAGAAGCTGCGTGCGAAGGCCTCAACAGGTACACACGAGGGTTCGCACATTGCTCATGTTTGGAGGAGCACGTGCTGGTGATGAGATTGAGTGCCAGGCTCCAGGCTCCAGATAGCATAGCTTAAGAGAGAGACAACAAAAAAACATATCGCAGTAAACAACATCAGGGTGCTCATGTCATCTCATGTCTCATGTCTGTACGCCGCATAACTCGGAATAGCAGGACCGCGCGAGGACGACTAGCAACAATGCATGGTTCAACAGTTTAAAGCCACAACCGATCTGCTGCATTGCATCCCGATACACAAGTGCGTCCGTCCCTCCGCCATCTCAGTATTGCAGGGTGTAGTAGGGTGTGTAAAGTGTGTGAAATGCTTCAAAACGGCTCCAAGTCCAAGCGGGGGCCGTGGAAGCGCCGACGCACGGAGAGTTTTCTACGAACGTCCCCCGCAGCGGGAGCAAAGGCATCGGCAACGGTCGCATGACGACGGTCGCAACCAAAAAGTCGGAAATGTCATGTCAGGTCATGTCTGCTCTGATATTACAGGGCGTCATCCTTGTCATTGATGTCTGACGGCGATTCTTCCAGGAACCAGGAATGGCAGGAACAGTGATGCTCGTCGCGATGTTACAGTCTACCGGCCCGAGAAGTCATCCATCACACATATGATTCTGCTACTGATGCTACGTGTAGACTACCGGTTGGTTGTATTTTGCCTTTCAATATAGACATGGACCACGAGAATCGTAGCAGAAGGTTGCTCACAGTTCACCTACGACAGGACCACATGCAAACAGCACTGCGCAACTTCCATACTATAAACAACAATGTGTGAAACGCAGGCATTCTACACGCAGGGAGGGTTCTGCAAAGGGCGAGAAGCCTGATTGTTGAAGCTGTCGGGTCAGGGATTCTGGAAACACGGATGACGGAAGCCAAGCCAAGCTGCGAGTGGAGGATGCAACGATGGCATGCTCCAAGCACGGCATTGAAGCTGATGTCATTTGCCAGATCACAGTGATCCATCTCTCGAAAGAGAGCGAGACCTGTTCGCCACAAACCTCGCTTCTCACACGCACTGATAGCCGCATTGCAGGTGATGTCACTGATGCTGACCGACGGATGCTCACGACTCCTTTGCAACAGGTCCAGCGCCACGTCCCAGACCGCCCCTTTCTCACATGCGCTGACTGCAGCTCCAAAAGAAACCATGGTGCAGGAGACCGATGTTTTGTTCAAAAGGTCCAGCAAATGGAAAGACACCTGCCACTTGCCTGCACAGCTGCCAATCGCTGCATTGAAGCTGATGACGTTACGCAGCAAGCGCTTGGATGGGAACTCATGCAGCAGCAGCGCGGATTGAGACCAAGCAGCGATTTCTGAATGCTGGCCCGTGCTGATGACGAGGTTTAGGATGATCTCCGTCAGTAATGGGTGTGCGGACCTTAAGAGATCTACCGCTGTACTCCATGCTGGCTTGAGCGCCGCTGCCAGGCTGGCAAAGGTGATAGAATCCTGGCGTGAAATGAGCAAGCAATGACAGCAATTACGAAACATGTCATCTTTTCCCAAGAATGCAACGAAGCAGCCCTCTGCAAGCGGCACTTCATGCACCCAAGAGGCTACAAGAATGCTCGACTGTCGGTGCTCAAGACAGAGCTGGGCGGCATGCTCCCAGGATTCACGGCAAGCTCCCACAGCAGCATTTGCCCCGATGATGTCAAGCTCGAGACTGGCGACCGGAAGTCCCCGCAGCACGTGACCGGCCTCCCAAGCAGACTGCTGCGATCAAAAGAAGCTTACTGAGTCGCTCATTCTCAAAACGTTGTGGGCCTTCTGCCACTTGGAAGCTGCTTCGCAAACGCTGATGACGGCATTCCGACATGGTAGGTGAGACCGGACGCCTTCCGTCCCCATCTCAAGTACCCAATGCAAAGCGCGCATCCATTGATCCCGCAAAGCACTCACTAGCAAGTGGTACGCGTTGTTTGGCGCTGCAGCAGCCATCTGCAAACGAAGTACATTCAGGGTGTCCTGCGAGCGGCTCCACTGCCTGCCCTCTTTGAATGCACTCATGGCCGTGACAAAGCATATGGAATCAGGCACGAGTGCTTGCGGCAGCATCCCATGCACATATTCTGCGGCACGCTGCCACTCCGACGCCTTTCCTAGCGAGCTCGTGAGAGTCCCTGCCGTAATCGCATCGGCATCCGCACAGGAGGCCAACGCCCGCTGCCAAGTACTGCCACGCTCGTAGGCCGAAATCAAGGCGGAGAAGCATGGGATGTTAGGTCGAAGAAAATCAGACAGCGATTCTTGAAGCAAAGCCGAGGCAAAATGCCACTGAGTGGAGCGAGCCATGGATGTGACAGCGGCACTGCAGCCGACGACATCTATCGCGGCATCCAAAAATTGCAGCACGTCGGTTGTCACCGCCCAGCATCCTTCCTAGGCACACGTGATCACACATCTCAACCATTCTCAAACCACATCCTCTGCCAGCTAGTGCCCAACAGCGGAAGACTGTGGACTTCGGCCCAGGCACAGATGCCTTGCAAGCATCTAATGCACTGTTGCGGCTGTAAGCATCTGGCAGCAGCTGCTGACACCGCATGTCTTGCAAAATGTGTAAAGCGCTGGACCAGTTGCGTCCCCGACCCGAGGCTGCAATCCGGACGTTTGTGGAGACCTGACGTGCAAGAGTGCTACAGCTGGTTGGGGATGACGAGCCCGTGCCCACACGACCAAAGACTGAGCAGATCAATGGCATTTGTCCTACATCGTGCATTGGCGGGACTTGTGTTTCGTGATAGCAGACAAAGATCACATGATGCGCCTGCCTGGTCCCGTAATGGCTCAGGAAAGCCCAGTACGGAAAGACTACGCTGCCAGTCGATTGGGCATGCAGCCACGGTCTTCAGCCACACAGCCTTGTCATTCTGTATGCTGGCAAACTACGATTGCCACGAACACTTCCTGCTAAACATGCCTCGGAAAACAAGCTAAGCTGCCGGCATCAGGCCTCACCAAGTCGCGGCCAGCCTTCCTGATTTGGAACAAGGCTTGCTGCCAAGCCCTCGTGTGCCGACACGCCCGGATCGCACCATCGTACAGTCTGTGCTGGTCGTGGCGGTCAAGGTGCTCTTTGCCCATATAGGCAGCATTCTGCGAGACTGCAGCACCTCGCAGCAAACGGACTTGCCACAGCTGCAGCCATTGCGGTGTCGTCACGAAGGTATCGACGTTTCCTTCTGCCCGTTTTCGCACGTTAGGAGCGTGCAAGGAATTTGCGTACATCGGATATGAAGCCGTTTTGCTTTGCATAAGCTCTTCTTGTGCTGCTCGTTTGCTTGAACTGCGCACTATCCAAATGCACAAACTTTTGCCTCCTGCATTGCTGAGCGAGTCACCTGGCAGGGCAACATATGACATGCCGGCGAATTCACTAGCAATCAGTTTTGGTGACAATAAGTAGACCTCCTTGGATTGAAGGCAGCAAGGACAAGTTCACTACAGCAACATGCCGATCACAGCTTTCAAGTAGCGCGAACACATAATGGAGAGCACATCAATTACCAACATGCTCTGTCAAATCAGAAAGGTCTTCATATCAGACCTCCCACAATTGCGCCGTCTTGCGTCTTTACAATGCTTCAACGGCTCTGACTGCTCGACGGCAACTTTGAAAGTCTGAAAGCTGGGTGTTTCAAGGCAGAATCTAAGATTTAATCCCGAGACGTAAGTAGTAAGTACGTATTCATGCATACACACATCCATGATTCATCCATGCTCTTTCTAAATAGTAACATAGTACATCCGCGATCAATGCATCCATAGGGGAGGGAGGGCTGGAAGGAGAGTGGGGCACTCTCTACCAAAACACTAAGCCCTCATGAGAAGGAGAGGTGCCTAGGAAGCCTCGCGCGCAGCTGAAGCTTGCATGCTTTCCGCTGATACTTCTTCATCCATGCCACACCAGTTCGACTAGCCTGAGCTGTTCTCTCAGCCAAACCCTCCCCTGCATGCATTCGAGAATTTGCGAGATCAGCATACGCTCTTTCCTCAGCTGTTGTGGAACATTCCGGGAACCCGGGAAGCCGAGTCGAGCCGACCGCCCCTTCCAGGTCCGCCTACTCATAGATCGAGGCAAGAGCCCTTGGTCTTCGACCGGGCAGAAGCAGCAGGGAAGCATCGGTTCCTTGCAAGGGGAACTTCATGAACTTTTCGGCATATCGGGCGCATGTTGCTTTGCCGATTGCCCTAAAAGTTTCTAAAAAAAGTGGAACAGCACATGATCAGGCACCTCACGTCAGTGAGGGGCCATCACCGCGGCGCAATGCATGCGTCATGCATGCGCATCAGCAAGGCTAGGCACCGAATTTCAGCTCAGCGAAAGTGATGTACAAGTCGCTGTTGCAGCAAACATGGCAACTCATGACCATCCCCACAAAAACAGGGTCGCTGAAGAGACGGGCAAATCGCTTCAGCTTGTAGTCCATGGATGCCACGTCCCCATCTTGCAAACATTGAACCAGAATCAGCTCGCAGATGTCACAGAACAGCCTGGCAAACGTGGGCAGGCTCAGACACATGTTCTTCACAAGAAACAGCTGACCTATCTTTCCCCCCACGTTTTCAACCCCCCCGCACATGCTGGCTGGAACAATCCATTCGGTCAACTCGCGCGGCTTGGTGTGGTCATGGACTCGATTCAGAACCTCCTTTGACGGTGTCAATCGGATCAAGGTGCCGGCGGCCAGGAGCATCAAACTGCTGGCAATCTTGATGATGATGCGGGCCCGGTATCGGCAGAACATGATCCCCCCCAGCTGCACCGTCATGAACTGGTAAAAGCTGAAACGACCAGGATCCTGGAAACCATGCCATACCGAGCGCCATTCACCGTTGCTCTTCTCGACGGCATCACGGGCCAAGGTGGTGTCAAAGGAAGACTTCTCGGTACGTTTCAGGAGGGACAGGTTTTGCTTTCGCTCCTGGGCCGTCTTCATGGCCCAATCCCTGAATCTGGACCCGAACTCTGTGGGCACATTCACGAGCTTAACGCGGGTCTCCGCGAAACAGAAGTTGGCGGTAGTTGTCTTTTCGGGATATCCACAATCGATGGTCCAGGTGAAAACACACGTGGCACGTTTGGGGAGCTCCAAAAAATCAGCACAAACGCCGATGACGAACACGAGAGCCTCGTAGCATCGTGATGTCGCCGCCCTGGCCTCTTTGCAGCAAGGCCGACTTCTACAAGCTTGAAAAAACAAACCGACAGGAAAGGGGCTGCTTTTGTAGCTGTGCCTCACTGGTGCCCAGCAAGAGCTTCCACTTGGGGATGCCCATGAGCACTACGGATTGCAAGGCCGGAGAAGAGGAGATCCCAAAATGGTAGACGTCATAAAGGAAGTCCTTAACGACCATAAAAACCACGACTGGAAGGCTGCCTGTCATGTACATCATGTCCCGAAGATACATGTAGCGGTGCATGTCCAAAATCACTGTGGCGAAATACAGCATGCGTTGTCTCTGCAAGTCATCCATCGGCGCCAAAGTGTCGAAAAGCAAGAGCCCAACTTGCCAAACTTTGCCCAGACATGGCATATAAACTGACAGGGCGCAGGGCCGTTGAGGGTGAATGAATGAGAATGAGCACGGCATGCAGTGACAGTTGCAGCCATGGTGGTGCGTAAGTTGCGGTAGCAGTAGTAGCAGCAGTATAGCCGTAGCAGCCCTGGTCGTAGTCGACAGTCGTGGTGGTAGTAATTGGTAGTGTAGTAGTAGTAGTAGTAGTAGTAGTAGTAGTAGTAGTAGTAGTAGTAGTAGTAGTAGTAGTAATAGTAGTAGTAGTAGTAGTAGAGTAGGAGCAGGAGCAGGAGCAGGGGTAGTAGTAGTAGTAGTAGTAGTAGAGTAGCGTCGTCGTCGCGCGCGGTGGTAGTAGGAGGAGGATTTGTGGTAGTAGTAGTAGTAGTAGTAGAAGAAGTAGTAGTTTTTTTTGTCACCCACCTGGCACACCTGTGGCAGCTCCGCGGAGTGGTGGTGGTAGTAGTATGATATCCGACCAAGAACGTACGCGTCAATCTTGCTAATCTTGCTTTTCCAAGGAGGGACAAAATTGACACCAAGCTTGCCTAAACAGCACGTTAGCCTCCAGGCACTTGAAGTATCCAAAGGGATTAAATCCTCAGCTGTCGACTGGCCAGACCTGGTTACAACACGAAAAGTCCGCCACCGAACAAAAGCTGTTGGTGTTGATGTTGTTGTTGCTGGTGGTGGTCTTGATGTTGGTGTTGGTGCTGGTGCTGTTGTTGTTGTTGTTGCTGCCGTTGTTGTTTGTTTTCGATTTTGTTGAGGCTAAGTGTGGTTGTTTGTGCGTGGTGTTCGTTGTTTGTTGTTGTTTGGTTTTGTTTGCTGTTGAATGCTGCTTTGCTGCCGTCCGTTGTTGCTGTTGCTGTTGTGGTTTGTTGTCGTTTGCTGGTGCTCGCTGTTGCTAGTTGGTTGTGCCTGCTGCTGCTGTTGTTGTCGTTGCTGGTGATTTTTGGTATTGGTTTTGTTTTTTGTTGTCCTTGTTGCTGGTGGTGGTGGCGTCGCTGTGTTGTTGTTGTTGTTGTTGTTGTTGATTTTGTTGCTGTTCTAAGCCTCTCGGCTCAGGAAAGGTCAGGCTAGTACAGTGCCTTTTTCCTTTCTTGCCATGGCATTTGTCAGCGCCTGAGCAGTCCCGGTCCCAAGTCCGGGAGGGAGAATTAGACTTACAGCACTCTAACATCTCCCAGAGGTGAGGGTTGTCGGTATTGCGAAGCCGACAGGAGCCGTACTCAACATGAGTGCTGCGAAACAGCCTAGTGGATCGACGATGCATCAGCCCGTTCCTAAAGGGAAGGGTAAACGCTCTTATCAAAAGGCAGCACGGAAAGCTCTGCTTGAAGGTAGTGCGGTCTACAAGGGAAGGACGATGTCGTCAACAGAGCTTGGAGTTGCTCCGGCACATGTAAAGCACACCAATCCCGGCAGAAGGACCCGGCCTTCGAAATTTTCCGGTTGATAAGAATCTCAGCTATCTATCCTGGAACGCAGGATCTCTCACAACAGCAGTCTGGGAAGAGTTACTCTCCGTACTGCAAAGTGCCGCATTTCAGGATGTAAAACTAGTAGCAATTCAGGAAACACACTGGAGAGGCTCCTGGCAATTCAGCAAGTCAGGCTGGCACGTGATCAGCTCTGGTACAACAGGGGAGAAGGGAGCCGGGGTCCTTATAATGGTGCACTCCACTCTGTGCAAGTCACAGGATCTTCGCTACAACGAGGTTGTTCCAGGAAGAGTTCTCCAGGTCCGGGTGCCGAGTAACGGCATCTCACTGGACGTCTTCAGCTGCTATCAATACGTTTGGCGCTCTAAGGAGACAGTCGCTCAGAATAAGGAAACCCGGAAGCTGACCCTTCACGCCCTAAGTAAGTCCATCAGAGCTGTTCCCAATCGCAACACTCTCCTTGTGCTAGGAGACTTTAACTCCTCGCTCAAAACCGACAACAAACACGTAGGGCCATGCACGATCCAGGTTTGCAGACTCGGGCATCGCGGATCAAAGGATCTCCAGTCCCTACTGTCGGAGCACCAGCTAGTCGCAACCAACACATGGGGAGTGCATAGACCAGCCACACACGTACAAGGCAACTCAGTCTCACAGATAGATAGACTTCTCGTTTGTCAGGATAGCACAGTCTCAGGGCCCAGCCAGGTTTTGCCGACCACTAAGGACCTTCCCAGTTGCATCCTGGAGGGATGGTAGTAGGCATTTCCCCCTTCTTGGAAAACTGAGGCACAGCAGGAGATACTCCGCCCAATCCTCAAAACCCTATGACCAACAGGCAATGGAGGATTGCTACAGACACCGTTCCCCGAAAATACAGGCATTTGCCAGGGAGGTAGACTCCCTTCTCCATGATCATCCCCAAACCTGGCAAAGTCTCCATCAAGCAATGAACTCAGCTCTGGCGACCCACTTTCCCAAGAGAAAGGAAGCAGCACACAGAACAGATCTCAGAATCTGGGAAGAGCGCTCTGCCTTGCGCTCACTACCACTAGCAATCAAGGTCTTAGCAGAGTTCTTGCCCGAGCTGCAGGTCCGTATAGTGTTCCGATGCTGGTGTTCGTTCTCCCAGCAAAGTGGACAGGCGAGAGAAGCAAAGCGTCTCAAGCAGGAGCGGCGGCGGCAGGAAATAGATGAACAACTCCAGCAGGCAGAGCTTAAGTCCAAGCAGGACGGGAGTCATTCGCTGTACAAGGTAATCAAGCGCTTCAGGTCGGGAAGGCCCCAGGAAAGAGCTCAGCTTCGTGACTCTGAGGGTCGCTTCCTTACTGCCAAGGAAGAAAGAAGACAACTAGAGGAATATTCCCTAGACCTGTTTGGAGCAGGGGATGACTACCCGCTTTCAGGGATACAAGGCAGCCTGCACATCACTGAGCAAGAAGTGCAAGAACAGCTGGGCACAATAAAGCTGGGTAAGGCGGTTCCTAAAGAGAGTCCTCCCGTCGTAGCCTGGCGCTCCCTAGGTCCCCAAGCAATCCGGCTAATCTCGGACACCCTTAATAGGGAAGTCACTGCAGGAAGGCTCTCGGACAGTGTCACCTCGTCACAGATCTCCTGGCTCCCAAAGCCTCCCAAGAAGCCAGACAAACCAACCTCACTCCGTCCGATCGGGGTGATAGCACCTGAGGGTAAGGTCCTAGCAGGACTCGTGAGGAAGAGACTCAAGTCTACCCTCCAGCAAGCAATGACCGGCGTCTCTCAGTTCGGCTTTGTCCCAGGCAGGGGCACAGAGGAGGCTATCTGCAAGGCCCTCACGCATGTGGACCAGGCCAGGTTCAGACAGGCTCTCACCACAAGGGCAGCAGGTAAGGGACAACAGGGGCTCAAGCTCAGAGGTAGTCTCACCATGAGCGTGGATATGAGCAAAGCTTTTTGACACTGTAAACAGGCTGCGATTAAGAGAGGCCCTGGAAGCCGAACAAGCCGATCCTCTTCTGATAGAGGTGGTAGGCCATCTCCACATCAAAGCCTTGTATAAGATGACAGCCAGCGATCAGAGCTTTGAGATAGCCACACGCAGGGGAATCAAGCAGGGATGTAAGCTAGCACCCTCATTATTTGCCTTTGCATCAGGGCTCCTCAATAGGAAGCTCTCTGGGAAAATCAGCCCAGCAGAACTAGTGAAGCTCCTCACAATGTACGCAGATGATAGCTTGATCCAGTCGCATTTCGACTCTGAGGCCGGTCTCATGACAGCACTAGGGTACTGCGACCTGCTACTGGATCAGCTGGTAGAGCTTGGGTTCAAGGTCAATCCGTCCAAGTCAGCAATTCTGCTACAGCTGCAAGGGGGGTCAGCCTCGACCATTAGGAAGAAACTCTTTCGCCAGGTCGAGGGAGAGAAGTATGTTGAACTCCCTTCGGGCAGGCTGATATCGCTGCGCTACCAGGTCCCTTATTTGGGGGTCATTCTTTCTTATCATGACTATGAAATGAAGACTCTCAAACATCGGCTGTCAGCCAGTAAGCTAGCAATGTCAGAAGTAGCCCATGCAGTTCGGAACCACCGAGTCTTATCAGATAGACGACGTCTGTCGATTTGGACAATAACTGCGTGGGCCTCTGCTCTATATGCTCTTCACGTGGTGGGGCTGACACAGCAGGGTTTGCAAAAGCTCCATTCACACATGATGTACCAACTCAGATTCGTACTGCGGAGTTACTCCCAGGAAACGAAGGAATCCAACCAGGAGCTACTCCGGAGATTACGGATTCCTCACGTGAAGGAGCAGCTGCAAAAGAGAATGACCCAGTTTCTAAAGAGACAGCAACACTCAGACCCCAGCTTCTCCCACACTATAAGTTGCGGGCTGAGGCAGTTAGCCAGTCTTTGGAAGGCCTCTCCACGGACTTCTCCTTGCACCATGTGGAGGATAGGCTTCTGACCTGCGGTGAGTGTGGCGCATGTCTCTCTGGCACCGGAGCACTCCGTCGCCACCTGCAGAAGGCTCACCCAGATTCTCAGCAGTGCCTGAAAGGACCCAAATTTGATCCTATTTTGCGTTCAATGCCAGGGTCAGCAACTTGCTTCGCCTGTCGGGCAACATTCCGAACAGTGTTCTATCTGCGCAAACATGTCGAAGCATCAACCTGCCCTAGGGTAGAGCTTTTGCTAAGACAGCAAGAAGAGCTACCCTTAGAAGCACAGAATCGGATCTCACTAGTAGAAAGTCTACAGTCCGATGCCCAGGACAATCCGGAAGGCGCCGCTCGAAATCCGGCGTTCCATGATTACCTGATGGAACACTGTGCACTCTGTGGCCAGGTCCTCGTAGGCCAGAAAGGAGCCAAACAGCATTTAAACAAGCAGCATCCTGAGGTGATGGCCAAGCTGGAGAAAACTCTCCAACCAAGACTTAATCAATTCAAGGTCTTCTTCCACAAAGGAGATAGCTGTCGATACTGCAAACTTCGTGTGGATGCCCCGGGTAGACATGCTCAGCAGTGCGTCCCATT